AGCGCCTCCTCGGCCAGGCCGCCTCGGGCCTGGGCGCAGCCGCGGCCTCAGAGAGCGGGCTCGCGGCTGAAGAAGGAGCCGCCGGGAATCGGAGGGAGGCGTTGGGGTCCCGGCGAGAGCCGCGCGGGGAGCTGGAGGGGGCGCCGCGGGGAGCGCCGCGGAGGAGGGGTTCCGGGGTGGGACTGGGGGGCAGGAGGTGTGCGCGCTCGCGAAGTTGCCTCTGCGCTGCAGTCGGTCTGTTTTCCCAGGGCCGCCTTTCTCACGCGCATGTATTTTTTCTTCCCTTAGAGTGCCATTAAGGGGAAATTGCAAGAACTAGGAGCTTACGTTGGTAAGTCTTCTGTTGTTAGCCTAATAGACTTTAGAATTTGCAGCGAATTTAATTTTAGGAATGCATTTTTCCTACCATGCCTTTGACTTTGGAGAGACGCCCTTTTACCTTCGAATCCGATACTCCGTGGTTACTTCTTTTCCGTACTATTTTTCCATTGAAAGCTTTATATGCAACCTTGTTTTTTTCCCAGATCCCCTTCTAATAGGGTGTTTTGAAATCGTTTAGCTTCCTCTGTTGAGGCTCTGTCGTATTTTCCTTAATATTTGTCTGATTTCTATTGTTTTTCCTATTCTTTCCTTTCCTCTTGATCTTCATTTTTCAGAATTATTATTTTGCATATGAATGATGCTGTCTGGCATTTGCCTCTCTCGTGGTTCAGTGAGTTTTATTTTCAGATCTCTTTATTTTTCCTGCCCCTTTTTTCTTACCTCCCGACGGTAATGTGTCTTTTTTCTTTTTATTCTTTTATAAATTATAATTTGAGTGTTTACTCTGGGCCAGGCACTGTGCTTAATTATTATTATATGCATTAGGTCACGATAATCCCCAGGAGAACACTGGAAGGTAAGTGGTAATATCCCCAGTTGTACAAGCAGGGAAACAGGCTTTGGGTGCTTGGCTTGAGCAAGGTTTTATGGATTGAGACCTGCGTCTGTTTGCCTCCAAAGCTGCTGCCTCCTATAAAAATAATAGCTACCACTTAATGATAGTGGTTCTCCAGGTGTGGGAGACCCCAAGGGTCTCTGAAGTCAAAACTATTTTCATATTAATACTGACAGGGTATTTGCCATTTTCACCGTGCTGACGTTTGGACTGTGCAAAAGTGGTGAGTAAAACTGCTGGTACCTTAGCCCGAATCAGTATCTCACACCAAACTTTACAAGAAATTATCGTATTCTTCACCACCCTTCCACTTGCAATTACAAAGAAAAAAAAACAAAAAAAGAGGCCAGTTTCATTTATGAATGTAAGTGATGAAGTAAAATATTTTTTTAAACCCTGGCCCTGACTACATCTTTTTAATATGTGGTGTTAGGAAATAGGAAGTACTCATATAGTACTTCTGCCATACTGAAGCATGATGGGTTGTCTTAAGGCAAAGAATTTGTGTGGTTGAGTTGAGAACTGACCTAGCCACCTTTTTCATGGAATTTTTTTTCTTTTGTTTTTTTGGAACTATTTTTTAAAGTTTTGTTGATTTACAATATTGTGTTTTAAGTGTACAGCAGAGTGATTCAGTTTTATATATATATGTACTTTTTTCAGATTGTTTTCCGTTATAAGCTACTAAAAAATATTGAATACAGTTCCTTTTGCTATACAGTAAGTCCTTGTTGCATATCTGTTTTATTGTGGTAATTTGTATCTGTTAATCACATACTCCTAATTTATCCATCCCCCTCCCCCCTTTTACCCTTTGGAACATCATTTTTAACTTCTAAGAAAGACTAATGGGCTAGTTACATAATTTGGGTTTTTGGCAGACATTTTCCTGAAAGTGAGCAAAGGTAAAGAACTAGTAAAGTTTGTTGCCAGTGACAAAGTTGAGCTTTCAAATGAAAATCAGAATTTTGGAAAATTTGTCTTCCTCCATAAATTTGGCAGCGTGGTGATATTAGCAAATGGGTCTTCTATACTGTATAATGAAATGTATCCGTATGCCAGTGGTTTGTATAGCTCAGTGAACCAGTATTTTTTCAAATGACCAATGCATGAATGTTTTTAAATTGTACAGGGATAAGAAAGATCCATTAAAAGTGCAGGATGGATCAATGGATTTTCGTGTAACAGAGTACAAAAAGGTCATTGATACAGTTTTTAGTTTCAGTATTGTTGCTTACCTTCAAGAAACTACCACTTGTTGAGTTTTGGTGTAGTATCACAGAAGAATATCCACATTATCTGAAAAGGGTACTAAAATACCCCTTTTCCCGTTGCATACCTGTGTGACACCATATTTTCTTCACATTCTTTTTTTAGAACAACATAAAACAGGTTTATTGTTTATGGGATAGGTGTATTATTTTAAACGAATTAAGAAATCTAAAAATTCTGAGTTGCAGTTTCTAGTATGGTAAATATCAGTAGATGTACGCACATGAATAAAAGCTGTTTGGGATCATCAGTAATTTTCAATAGTGTAAAGGGGGCCTGAGACCAGATGGTAGTTTGCCACATACTAATTATTTGTTGTCAGGATTGTTGTAAGATTTTAACAGATAAGAAAATTGAGGCTCACAGGTTAAAGATGAAGCTGAACCAGGATTGTTTGTTCTTTTATTCATTCAACATTTAATGGATACCAGCTTTGTGCCAAGAACTTGTTTTGGGTCAAAAAGAAATCCACAGAAAACCTACAGTGAGAACTTCCGTAATTCTAGCACATGAAAACATAAACACATATTAATTGGGTCTAAATTCAATCTGATGATTCCTATCTTTTATCAGAAACCTCAAACCAAAAATTTTGAGCCTATTAATATTAAAAACCTGGTTACAAGCTTGATGTAGTCCAATGTGAAGTGTAATTGTAGGAAAGATATCATGTATTTTGTAGTTTTCAAAATATTTTCATAGAGTTCTATTTGTACCTGAACACAGTGCTGGAGTGGGGATGGCAGGTAATTTACTTTTTTACAAATAAAGAAATGGCGTCTTGGGAGGGCTAAATACAGCTGGTCAGCAGCAGATTTAAGACCCAAGAACTCAGGTCTTCTGGGTCCTTGATGTTTCTATTATGGTTGCTTCATAATAGAAACTTGATGAGCGAACAGAAGGATAGGAGTCACTCCCGTATGCTCCTCTTGAACTCATCTGTCCCAGCTGTTAACATATTAGCACGGCTTCTCAACTTGTTTGCCTCTGCTTCTTGACTGGAAGTTTCTTGAGGGCAGAAACTTCATATTGGTTGTGTCTCAGTGGCCTAGCAGAGCACTGGATATTTTCATAAATGTTGATTAAGTGGGTAAACAGGGATCACCATTAGACTATTTGAAATATACATTATTTGTTTACAGTTAGCTACCTAATTATTTGAATGTATAGGCATCATTGTCCTTCTGAAAAGGGTAACTTTCTAATCCCTTTCTTTGTGCTGGACTACTGGAAACCTTTTTATGGAAATAATTCTGTAGTAAATATTTGAATATCTATTTTCAAGGCATTGAGTGGGATATAAAGATGAGCAGCTGTTTGTTAAGAGTTGATACGATTTCATTTGTGTTTGTTTAAAATGGAGTACTTTAGTGAGATGGCAGTTATAATTCAGAGCAGTCTTAAATTCACATTTTAGGAAGTATGAACTTGGAGGAACCGTCAACATTTTACTGTTTTTCAGTACATAGATTTCAGATGAACTTGAGAATGCTATTAGAATTCTGTAGGAATGTATCATGAACACATTATTTTATTTATTTTTTGGCTGTGCCACAAGGCTTGCCGGATCTTAGTTCCCAACCAGGGATTGAAGCACCGAGTCCTAACCACTGGACTGCCAAGGAAGTCCCAGAAACACGTTAAGTTTTCATTAGATTCTTATTTCTCACTTTGTGTCTACTGAGAGAATGATGTTATGAATTTCTAACAGCCTTGTTGAAATATAATTGTTATAAACTCCACCTATTTACAGTTTGCTATGTCTTGATATGTATACACCATAATCAAGCTAATGAACATATCCATCACTTCCAAAAGTTTCCTTTTGGGTTTTCCTGGGGCTCTTTTGTATCCTTCCCTACCATCTGTTCTTGTCCCCACCCTGTACCAGAGCAACTGCTGATCTCATTTACATAAAATTTTATAAAATGCAAACTAATATATAGTGTCAGAAAGCACAGCCTGTTTGTTTTCATTACTGACATTATGAGGGAGAAAAACTGTCAAGACTGCCAAAGCACCCCAACTTTGTTTTTCTTTTCCTGGGTTACCAATGGCAGCCCATGGTAGGGACACTTTGTCTAAATAAGCTGTGAGGCTTATTTACTAAAGTTGCCAGAAAGCAGTGGAGCCTTTTGATACTTTACAAAGAAAATAACAAATGACCGGCTACTTGTTCTTTTATCTCCTCACATTGAATTGCATGCTTCTAGCAAGTATTCTGATTTCTCTGTTTCCATTTGTAGATAGGGCTTTAGTGTATTTGTGCTTTTCTTGAACTGGATTTTTGATATTTCTTCTTGAAACAAATGTCTGATAGTAGTTATGAAATGAACCTTTCTGCCTACATAGAAATGTTGTGAATATTTAAGGTATTAAAGAATCTAAAGGAATTTTTTTGGTAGGAATCAAAGTTCCTGATAAATAGCTTTTGCTTTCCTATCTTTTTATTGTGGTGGTTTTGGGGGTTTTTTGTTTGTTTTTGGTCCTAGACCTCACCCTCATAATTCACTGTTAGGAGGGTATAAGAATGAAACAATGAGTTGAGTAGAAATCATTTAACTAATCTTAAGATTAAATTTTTTAAATGATGTATAATTTTTGGGCGGTTTTAGTTTATTTGATGTTGCTGCAAGTTTGTTACCCTAATTAAAATCTGCCTTTACCAAGGATAAAGGTGTTCCTTGAGAAATGAGTGTCATTTTGAAACAAACACGCACAAAACTGAACAAAACTCAGTATTATTCTTGAGAAATGTCCAGTATGCTTTCTGGAAGCTTTTCTGAAGTTAATGAGCATTATTAAAAAAGGTTAAAGGAAATGAATGCACTCTCAAGTTTGATACCGTAATTCAGAATATCTAGTTATGTAAATGCTTATTAGTTATTCCTAGTTCCTGTTCTTCTAGTAATTGAAATACTTAAGGAATAAAGAGAAAGAAAGCTATACTTTTTGTCCAGCATAATTCCACTAGAGCTGACATTCTTAGAACTACATCTATATTTTCAAGCACATCAGCTTCAAGTAGAAGAAAATATTAAGGAAAGCATAAAAAGTTTTTATATACTTTTCCTTTTAAATAGATGAAGAACTTCCTGATTACATTATGGTGATGGTGGCCAACAAGAAAAGTCAGGACCAAATGACAGAGGACCTGTCCCTGTTTCTAGGGAACAACACAATTCGATTCACCGTATGGTATGTTTCTGAATATTTACCCCTCAGACCAAAGTTTGGCTCAAGTCAAGAGTAGGTAGGTGTTCTGTCTGAAAAGAGGTTCTTGAGAGGAGAGTCAGATTCAGTGTTGTGAGGCAGGTTGTGAGTGTTGAGAGCACAGCTTCTGGAGCCAGACTGCCAAGGTTGAATCCTGGATCTGCCTCTTTCCTTGGTTTCTCCATCTGCAAAACGGGTATCGTAAATCACCTTTATAGGGTGGTTGTGAAAATTAAATAAGCTAATACATGTAATGTGCTCACAGCTGTGCCTGGCCCATAACAAGTCCTTAGTATGTGTTGACTGTAGTTAATACGTTTCTTTTGTAAACTTCAGCATGTTATCATTCCTTTCCCTCCACCAAAACCAGTTATAGATGTTTTTTGGACTGGGTTGACTTCCTGAATTGCTTTCTTCAGTCAGCTAACTTAGGAGGCAAGGTTTTTTGACAAAATTTCAAATCATTTTTTTAGTTTGGAGCTTTTCGAAGTCTGGAATTTTGAAATAGGCAACTTTGTGTTCAAATATAAGTCAGTATTTTAATTTCCAGTGTCCTTTTTCAAACCACATATTCCTTTGGTTGAGAATACTGACTAAAAGCATGACATTTAATTTATGAAGGCAGGCCAGGTTCTGGTACCAGGTTTGAGGTAGAGTGAGAGCTGGGGGAGGGTAACGATGTGGCTGAGAATAGAGCAGGAAGGATCATATAAAGGTCCTCACTGGGAACCACCAGTTGCAGCACAAGTTGATAGATGGAGCAAAAGTTGCATGAGCAGAGTGGCCTGCTTAATTTGAATGGCAAGAGACTGGGAGACCAGATAGGCAATCAGGAGAGATATGAAACTGGTTAACTTGCCTTTAAACCAAAGTTTGTCTTAAAGACATTTTGGCCCCAATGGGCAACTGTATCCTTTATAACTCTGGTGAAGCTTTCTTGAAATTCCACACAGAATTCTCTGGGTTTATATTACACATTTTTGAAGAACATTGAGTGCAGTGGTTGTTCCTTAAATGTTTTGGTACATATACTCCTACAGTGTGGGTGACCTAACCCACTTATTATGGTTTGTCCCCAGAGTTTACCAAAAGAAAAGAGATCATGGTGGTTTTGACTGGGGAAATTACTATTATCAAGAGTACTGCCTTTTTTTTTTTTTTTTTTTTTTTTTTTTTTTTTTCATGCTTCAGCAGTCCAGGTACTTGTTTTGTTTCATGTACGTTTTTTATGACTAGACTTTTGGTTCAACATTTGGATCACTTTGAGTCCCAGTAATGTAATACGGGACATTGACCTAGTAGATCCTTTCTCAGATAACTTGAGGGAGTGCTTTAGACAAATTTCTTACATAAGCAGACTGCCAACTGAATTTGAATTTAAAATCACATTAATTCAACTCTTTCATCTTGCCGTAAATTTTATTCTTCACCATGTACTGATAAAAGTGATGGTGTCTCTGTTTTGACACTTTGCTTTCTTAAGTGTTCATTTACACCTGCCACAAATAGACTATTCTGATTCTTTGGAGCCCTGCAATAACTGTATATCCTAGGGGATAGTGGCATGTGACTGGGTTCTGGGTGAAACATTATTATAATGAGATATTTCTGGTGTTTTTAGGATGCCTGGCCTCCTGGAAGGATTGTAAGACAGTTTTGCCTTGTACATAACTACTAAAATAGGTTATATTATAATTAAGGTTGTAGCTTGTTTACAGCATTAGTTTTGAAAACAGTAGTTATAATGAAGTGATATAGTATATTTTGAGATTACTTTTAAAGTTTTTTCACCTCTCAGGATTAAGTTCTTCCAGAAACCATCTAAGTAGATAAAAAATAAATTTAAACTGTGCTTAAAACAATTTTAATAGTGTTACATTATGTTTATGGTATTTTATCTCCTTTTATCTACCTTGAATCTTTAGTTCTTTTGAAACAGAATGATATTCTTTGTGGATCAGTGCTATGTGGCCAGATGATAATCATTGCCCTTATTTTTGCAGAGGCTAGATGTTGAAAATAGTAATGAAAAAATAAGATTTTTGATTATTCTACAATATTCATGTACAGCCTTTTTTAAAAAAATGTAAAACTTAATTTTAATACTGTTTATCCATTAAATTCCATTCAGTACCATCTGTCAGTGTTTATCTGAAGACTAGATCTAAAATGTCATCAAATTTAGAGTGACAGTTGAAATCCAGTGTTTCTTGATTAACAGAAGCTTTAACTTTTTTGGTTTTTTTCTTTTAGGCTTCATGGTGTATTAGATAAACTTCGTTCTGTAACAACTGGTAAGGTTCATAAAGATGATGTGTGGGTTTTTTTGGAATTTGCTATAGCATATGATCATTTTTCTGAAGTCATTTATACTGCTTTGGGGAAAAGAACCATAAATTTGAAAATGGTAGTTCATTTGAAGCTTTTGAGGAAGCCCACATTTTTATGAATTTAAAAGCAATAAACAACATAATTCGAAGATGATTTGAACAAGGGAAGGGAAAGTATGCAATTTATTCTAAGGAAATAATTATGGATGTGTGCAATGATTTAGCTTCAAGGATATTTCAGTGATTTATAATTGAAAATTAAAAGTCCAGTAATAATAAATTAGATATTATATCACTATGTATGGTAATATGCACCCACTAAAAATGTTGTGGAAGAACACATATTTATTGCTTTAAAATTGGTGGTGAAGAAGGGGAACGTTCAAAGTAATAAAAATAGCTTCAAGAGACCATGTGTTTTTCTTTCTAGACCCCTCTAGTCTAAAGTCTTCCGATGCCAACATCTTTGATAGTAATGTACCTTCAAACAAGAGCAGTTTCAGTCGAGGAGATGAGAGAAGGCATGAAGCTGCAGTGCCACCTCTTGCAGTTTCTAGCACTAGACCTGAAAAAAGAGAATCTAGGGTTTCTACAAGTTCACAGGAGCAGAAAGCTACTAATGTCAGGTAAGAGTCTTGTGTAGACCTGTGGGCAGGTGGGTGTGTGTGTGTGACATTTACATTAGTTAATATGTCTTTAAATTGCTGTTTTCAGAAATTTTTGGAAATGAGGTGGTCATGAGCAGTTTTTTGGAATAAAATAATGAAGGATAAGACCAAAGTATGATTACCTTTTATATAAAATGTAGTAAATCAAAGTTTAAAAAAAAGAATGCAATTTCAAAGTAGTTTTTAATGGACTACATAAAGGGATTATCCATACTTTTTCATTAAGATGTATCTAAATATCCTTAGAAGAGTTGAAGATACTGCTCTAAATTGGTAACACACCCTTTTTGGTTTTGTTTTCCTTTTTTAACAGACAGACTTATGATGATGGAGCTGCAACCCGACTAATGTCAACAGTGAAACCTTTGAGGGAGCCAGCACCCTCTGAAGATGTGATTGATATTAAGCCAGAACCAGATGATCTCATTGATGAAGATCTCAATTTTGTGCAGGAGAATCCCTTATCTCAGAAAAAACCTACAGTGACACTTACGTATGGTTCTTCTCGCCCTTCTATTGAAATTTATCGACCACCTGCAAGTCGAAATGCAGACAGTGGTGCTCATTTAAACAGGTTGCAGTTTCAACAGCAGCAAAACAGTATTCATGCTGCCAAGCAACTCGATATTCCGACTAGCCGGATATATGAAACAGGACGTTTGTGTGAACCAGAAGTGCTTAACAGCTTAGAAGAGACTTATAGTCCCTTCTTCAGAAACAGCTCAGAAAAGATGAGCATTGAGGTTTGTATATACTTTTAAATTCTGACTCATTAGGCTGAAAATTGTCAGTTCTTAATATTAAATTGTACATGGAATAGCTAAACACATACTGCAAGTTTGTTTTAAACTGATTTCTGTGCTGTTCAACATAATACGTCAGTCAGATTTTCCTCTCCACAACTGGCTACAGATATTTTACATCTTGTTTACTTTCCTGGATGCTAACAGTTGAGATAGCTTTAACCATACCTTATCATTTTGCGAGGATTTTAGGTCAGTATTAGATCCTTCACAGCAACTGCTAGTAAACAATTGAGTAACTCCATTTTATTGGTTTCCTCAACAGTGCTATATGCTGCTGTTTATAAATGAATTAAAGCATTGGTTTTTGTTTTAGCTAAAGGTTGGCTATTGGATATATTACTTGTATTTTTATAAGAAACCAGGGAAATAGCCCATGAATTCTTAATGTGCTTGGCTTTTTCTTGAAAAGAAGAAAGTATTCTGTAGTAGAATTTTATTTTCTGAGACTAGGTAAGTGGAAATTTATCTGATTGCAGGAAGAAAACTTTCGAAAGAGAAAGTTGCCTGTGGTAAGTTCAGTTGTTAAAGTAAAAAAATTCAATCATGATGGAGAAGAGGAGGAGGAAGATGATGATTGTGGGTCCCGTACAGGAAGCATCTCCAGCAGTGTGTCAGTGCCGGCGAAACCTGAACGGAGGTACCCGAACATGTCTACATTAATTTTTCATCGCCTGGTGGAGTCTTCTGGGTTCCTTGAAGAGGGTATCATGAAAATATAAATTTAATACCATGTTAAGACTTTTCCATTGGTTTTTGAGCAACACTTCTATTAATGAAAGAGAAGTTGCCTAAAATTGGAGAAGATTGCAAAGAATATTAAAAACTGTAACATGGGTGGGAGGAAGGTTGATACAAATTCATTATTTTAAAAAGTTATAAGGTTCTCATCCAGTTGGCATTTCCTAAAACCTACAGCTAGTCTGTTCCAAACCTAAGAGAAGGCTGTAGTAAAGGTATAATGGATGGCTAGCATGTAAAGAACTCAAATCTAAAATTTAATCAGAATACCTTTCTTAACTTTTTTAGACCTTCACTTCCACCTTCCAAACAAGCTAACAAGAATCTAATTTTGAAGGCTATATCTGAAGCTCAAGAATCTGTAACAAAAACAACTAACTACTCTGCAGGTAATTTAAATGTATTATGTTGACATTAAGTAAGAGATTTCTATAAGTCTTGAGTAAGCTATAGATGATTGCTCCTCAAGTTGTGATAAAATAAAGATGCCTGCCAGATGTCAGGACCAAGGTGAGGTTCAGAGAATGATTAAAAGGAGATTTGACCAGTTTGAGAAGCTTTCCCGACTGTTAGTGAAACTTAGTTCTTTGAGCAACTGTAATGCCTTTTACTCCCTCTTTCTAATGTATGTGAAATATATAACGGAAATCTTAAAGGGAGTTTTGATAAATATGAGACTTTTCATATTTATAGCATTAGAGTCAACATTAGATATGAACTTATGTTATTTAAAAGGGAGCAAAATTTGAAAATATTAAGAGGCTGAAATTAGAAAAATTTGTCTAGTATATGAACAGGTTGGTTTCTTTCCTCTCAGTAGAACCCATTACTCTGTGCCCCGTGTGCTATAGCCAATACGTAAAATTTTCTGTTAATAAGCTGTGATGATTACCCACTCTAAATTTTTAAATTTTATTTTTGCTATGGATTTGATGACTGTTCTTTTCGCATTGTTCTGCTTTTCTATTCTCCTTTGCATCTTTTTATATGACCGCTTTCTAAAGTGAAATAAACTGTAAGCTAGCAACTTTTGAGCCTGATCGTCACCTGTCCCTTTGCTTCTCCTCATCCCTAATTTAACCCTGAACATAAACAGCTTTTGGCTTATAGGGTAAGGATTATCAGGCAAAGGCCAACACTTGACATAACAGTTCATCTGTTTACATTTTCTTTTTTGGTCTGTCAGCAATTTTGAGTGTTTACAATGATGAGAAATTCAGACTTATCACTGTGACCTTAATTTCCTGCTTTTGTAATTGGAGAGTTTTCCAAGTTTTTTGAGAGATAGCATTGAAATTCTTTCTTCACCTAGGTTATCTAGATTACAGTTTGAAATTGTTATAGAACCATGAGGCAGAACCCAGACTACATTTGGTTAAAGATGAATACATGTGTGCTGCAGTGTATTTATGGCATGTAGTTTAAAATGTATAAATGTTGTTTACATAAGTATGGGTAACTGAGTCATAGAATATTATAAGGAAAAATGAGGTGTCTATGAACTGTTTCTAACTCCTCATATTCTAAACCCAAGGAGGCATTTATATTTAATATGATATTCACTGTTGAGTTTTGAAATATTACTTCATTTGGATTTCCATCTTTTTTGCTTTTTATATAAAAGTCTCACAGAAACAGACACTTCCAGTTGCCCCCAGAACTCGAACTTCTCAAGAAGAATTGCTAGCAGAAATGGTCCAGGGGCAAAGCAGGGCCCCCAGAATAAGTTCCCCCATTAAAGAAGAGGAAACAAAAGGAGATAATATAGACAAAAGTCAAGGTAATAATTTAAATGATATTTCATTGCCTATTACACTTTTTTCATGAGGCATTAAATATTTTCCAGTGGGTATTTATGAAATGTTGGTTATACTATGAGAAAAGGGCTTTATAGGCCCCCAAATAGAATAAGGGACCATGAGGAAAGTCTATACGTACACTTTTTAGAATTTAAAAAATCTTATCATTAGGGAAATTTTTAGTGTTCTCAGAAGTGGAGAGAATAGTGCAATGAATTCCCATGAACCCAGTCACCCAGCATTAATAATTGCCAGTCTTTAGAAAGCTTCTACTTAAAGATACATAGATACCTACATTCTTCCTTTTCTTCTTTTTGTTAAACTTGTTCTGTTGAACTTGAAATCTTTAAATCTCCCCTCTCTGAGCATCCTGTCTCTGACCTGCCAGAACTGCCTTATTGTCCCAGTGATACTACTTTATCCCCTTGTGCCTGACATACTTCCAGCTGATCTTTCTGCTTCCTTTCTCTCAACCTCCCACCCCCAACTCTTGAACAGACTCTCCTGTCTGAAGTGTGACTCTGATCATGTGACTCTTCTGTGAGAGCAGTTATAGCTTCTCTTCCTACTGTGCATTATCTAGGACTGATGTCATCAGCTTGGCCTTTAGGTAGCTTCTGGTCCCTGGGCCTGCCCAGCCCTTCTCCACTGCTCTCCAACCTGTTTCTTCTGTTCCCATCAGGAAAGAGTCTAGTTCTTTTCCTCTTCTACTGAGATCTGATTAAAAAACCCCACCAAAACTGTATGCTTGTCTTGACTTAATACCTTTACAGTGCTGGAATACATTTTTTCATTCCTCCTCAGCTGTGTCCTTTAAATTGTTCCAGGTTCATCTCAGATTTACTTGTTTTGTGAAGCCTTAACGATTCCATCTTATATTTGTCTCTTCTCTCTTTTTTTAAAGAAGTCTTTGACTATGGGGTGCAATTTGCTGTGTCAGCATTATGTGCAGTTCCAATAAATCATGGACCTGAAAATGGGAAAATCCTTAAAGTAGCCAGTAGGTACTAACTGGGCCAATTTGTGAAGAGTAGTTGGAAACTGGGATTTGAGCTTTAGTAAGGATTTGCAGTGAATTGAAGTCTGTCGAACAGTTTTGAATCTGTGATTTCATGATGGCATTTTTAAGTAAACAATTGGTCTTTTTGGAGGATAATAGATACTAATTCATTGTCTTGGAAACCAGAGAAATAAAATAATTGAGCATTTATGCTGTCTTTCCTTTAAGGATGGTACCACTGGGTATCAAAGTAGTATAGGAGTTAGTACTTTTTTTGTAAGTGAAGTTTTATTGGAAGTAAACTATGCCCATTTGTTTATGTATTGTCTATGGCTGCTTTTATACTACAACCACAGAGTTGAATAGTTACAACAGACCATAAAGCCCACAGAATTTAAAATAGAAAATGTTTGCTACCCCTTGTGATATAGTAGATGAAGGAAGCATCTTTTAAAATTATTCTAGCTAAGAAGTGAAAACAAAATGGTAGAATTCTAGTGGTTTTTCCCAACTAACAGTAAATTAATGAATCTAGGCACTGATAATTAATGGCTACTAAAGTGGTTTTTAAAGTGAAAACCAGCCATTTTGTGCCTCCCAATGAAAGAATAAAACACTCCCTTAGTCTTGCCAGAGGATTTGAACCTGAGTGATCAAGCCTCTGATGCAGCAGTCAGCTTGCAGGAAGTACAGAGGCCAGAGGAATATGTTAATTGCTGCACCATGAGTGTGCAACAGGCAAAGTACCCTCTCTGGGGCACTGTATAGGTCAAACAGCCTGAGAATTCTAGATTAAAAGACTTAAAAGACAAAAGGGGTAAGATTAATCTATAGTGTCTAGGTACGTACACTTGTGTGATAAAACCACAAACTGTAGATATTACTATAAAAGGTGTATGGTGGTTACTTTTGAATAGGACTGATTATATTGGAGTACATGAAGGGGGGCTTGTGGGGTAGCTTACATAGTCTATTTTCTTGATCTGAATGGTGGTTATAAGGGTGTTTCGCCTTATAAGAACTCATTAAACTCTTACTTTTGTGTGGCTTTCTATATCATCGTTTTGTTTTAAAGTAAAAGGTTAAAAAACTGAAAAGGTATCAAGTATCTCTACTGATGAGGACTGTTACTACTCTTACCGGTACCATTTGTTTGCAAGCGTGAAGTGACACACTGCGAAGTCATTAATTAGTATGCTTACTACTGTTCTGTAGCTTTGTCTGTGACATGTTTTTTTTTTTAAATAAATTTATTTATGTATTTATTTTGGCTGAGTTGGGTCTTTGTTGCTGCGCGCGGGCTTTCTCTAGTTGCGGCGAGCGGGGGCTACTCTTCGTTGCGGTGTGCGGGCTTCTCACTGTGGTGGCTTCTCTTGGTGCAGAGCACAGGCTCTAGGCGCGCGGGCTTCAGTAGTTGTGGCGTGCAGGCTCAGTAGTTGTGGCTTGCGGGCTCTAGAGTGCAGGCTTAGCAGTTGTGGCACACAGGCTTTGTTGCTCCGTGACATGTGGGATCTTCCCTGACCAGTGCTCGAACCTGTGTCCCCTGCATTGGCAGGCGGATTCTTAACCGCTGCACCACCAGGGAGGCCCTGTGACAGGTTTTTAAAAATCTGTGCACATGTAATGGCATGAGTTGTTGATAGTGTTCTCTCATCTCTCTGACCTCTGTAGTTTTACTGGGCTAGCCACCTCAAAATATTTTGCTTTTTCTCTTTTTGTCTTGGGTTAATCTGTCACTAGAAGTGTATTTTGTCAGTCTTTTCAAAGATTTACCACGACAACAATTCTGGCTTTATTGATTCTCTTTTGGTGTGTTGTCTATTTCATTGATTTCTGCTCTTATTTTTAATATACCCATGTATATTTTTCTTACTAATTTATCTTAGCCTGTCCTTTTTATTTTGCAAGTGTAAACATTTAAGCTATGAAATTCTCTTGACATGCCATTTTTGCTGCATGTCACAATTTTTTTTTTTTTTTTTTTGGTATGTGTTGGCCTCTCCCATTGTGGAGCACAGGCTCCGGACGCGCAGGCTCAGCAGCCACGGCCCACGGGCCTAGCCGCTCCGCGGCACATGAGATCTTCCCAGACCAGGGTACGAACCCGTGTCCCCTGCATCGGCAGGCAGATTCTCAGCCACTGCGCCACCAGGGAAGCCCTCACAAATTTTGATATATACATTTTTCATTATCATTTGAATTATCTTTAATTCCCATTATGATCTTCTTCTTCGACCTATAAGTTATTTAAAAGTGTTTTTTAATTCATAGTATATGGAAGTTTTGGGTTTTGTCTGTTAATCTTTTTAATTATATACTATGGACTTAGTCGCACTGTGGTCCAATAATGTGGTCTGTATAATACATACTCTTATGAAAATAGTTAAGACTTAAGGCAGTCAGTTTTGTACGTCTTGCATGTGCATTTTGGAAGAAAGTGGACTCTAATTGTTGAATTGAGAATTTTGCATTTAGTAGACAAAGCTCTACAGTTAATATTGTTCAGATCTTGACCTTGCTGAGTTTTCGGTCTACTTATCAGTGATTGAGAGGGTTTTGAAATTGCCTGTCAGGATGACAAATTTGTCTTCATTTCTCTGTACTTCTGGTAGATTTTGTTTCAGTTACTTTGTGGCTATTAAACTAGGTGCACATATACTTAAAATTATCCTGATGAATTGAATCAGGAAGGTACATCTTCCTGATGAATTGAACCTTTTATTTGTATCTATAATCCTTTATGTACTAAATGATGCTTTTTTTTTTTTTTTTTGCGGTATGCGGGCCTCTCACTGTTGTGGCCTCTCCCATTGCGGAGCACAGGCTCCGGATGCGCAGGCTCAGCGGCCATGGCTCACGGGCCCAGCCGCTCCACGGCATGTGGGATCTTCCCGGACCGGGGCATGAACCCGTGTCCCCTGCATCGACAGGCGGACTCTCAACCACTGCGTCACCAGGGAAGCCCATAAATGATGCTTTTATCTTCAACTTAGTTTTGTCTGATATTAATATAGCTATTTAGTTAGTATTTGCTTCATATATCTGTGCTTCATGCATTTTTCAGTCTTCTCTGACCTTGTTAGGCATACGTATCTCTTAACTATCATAAAGCTAGATTACTGTTTAAAATTCAGTCTGAGCGTGCTTTTATATGAGTTTGAACCATTCACATATATGAGAATTATTGATGGAGTTGGACTAGTTTCTGTCACCTTTTTTTGGTTTGTATTTGCCTGCTTTCATTTTTTGATCTTTTGTCTTTTTTAAAGATTCATTAATCACTATTGTAATTGTTGTTGATTGCCCAGCTCTCCTTTATTTTGTACTGTTTTAAACTCTGTTTCTGTTCTTTTATTGGTTACCACTGAAATTTTACCATACAGATTTAATATTCCAGAAGTTAATATTCTGACCCCATTCCCAAATAGTAAATGGATTTTAGAATACCATAGCTCCAGTTTTACCCCCTCAGACTTTACATTATGTTTCCAGTGTTTTCATTTTGGTCCTTTTTTTAATGGGTAAATTGGGCACCATTACTGTTTTACCCAGGCAGTGTTCGTTCACATTTACCTACATATTTATTGTTTTTTTTCCCTCATATCACTTGAATGATATTTGGGGATTGTCATTTTCCAATATTTTAAAGCATTTTGAAGTGTATTCTTTGGAAGTTTCTTTGGAACAGGTCTGTTGGTGGTAAATTTCCCCAAGAGTCTGTTCACCTACAAGAGTGTTCATTTCTCCTTGTTCTTGTGCAGTAGCTAGCTTTACTGCATACACAAATCTAGGTTAACAAGAGTTATTTGCTCTCATCACCTTGTTTATATTATTCCATTGTCTTCTGGCTTCCATGGTTGTTGAGTGGACTCCTGTTATTCTGATTGTTGTTCCTTTGTAGGTGATCTGTCCTTTTTCTGGCTGCTTTCAGGATCTTCTGTCTGTCTTTGATGTTCTGCAGTTTCACTACAATGTGTCTAG